AATATCTCTCTGTGTGTTTGTGTGTGTGTATACACAAAACACAAAAAAGAGAATATATATATATATAAATATGTGAATATCTCTCTATCTCCCCACAGAAACAAGAGAAAGTGTATATATATATATCTCTCTCTCTATATATATATATATATATATATATATATATATATATATATATATATATATATATATATATATATGTTTAATGTAACTTATTTTGGTTTGGCTATTTATCTTGTGTATCTAATGTGGTTATTGTGTAAAAGAACTGTTCTTTTTTTACTGTATTCTAAGTTGTATTATACAGTTTCTTGAAAATTAATACACGCAAAAAAAGTACTTATGCAATATTTGTTTTCTGGATGCAGGTTTTTGCTGTTTTTTTTATTCGTGTTGATTTGGAAAAGTAGGTGAATATTTTTGTAATACTGCATATTGTTTCAAGTCATCAGGCATTGTTTAGAATAAAAGGCATCAGATAACATTAACCTTTGTTATTCTTTGTTTATTATGTTTTTTATGGTGCTAGAAGTCTTAAAATTGGCTTTTGTATAAACTCCAGACGCCCTGAAAATGTAAAACTTGTGAAGTTTTTAATTTTCCCTCCTCAATGTAACCGACAGATGGCGCCAAGAAACAGTTAGTAAATCAAGAAAAGAAAAAATACGAATGAAATAAATGAAAAGTAATTTCAATAAAATGTGGTAATATACTGTTTAAAATGGCTTACAAAGTGTCAGTAAACACAAGGTTGTGTCATTTGAGCTGGGATTAAATATGCACACACACACACACACACACACACACACACACACACACACACACACACACACACACACACACACACAGCACTTCTTATTCTATACAGTACTTTTTATAGTTTTATATAGCACGTCTTTTTCTATATAACACTTCTTTTGGTTCTTTATAGCACTTATTCTATATAAAACGTCTTATGGTTCTACATAGCACTTCTTATTCTGTATAACACTTCCTATGGTTCTATATAGCACTTCTTATTCTATATAACACTTCTTATTCTATAAAACACTTCTTATAGTTCTAAATAACACTTCTCATTGTTCTATATTAGAATTCTTTTTCTATAAAACACTTCTTATGGTTCTATATAGCGCTTCATATGGTCATAGCACTTCTTATTGTTCTATATAGCAATTCTTATTCTATATAACATTTCTTAAGGTTATAGATAGCATTTCATGGGGTTCTGTAAAACACTTTTTATGGTTCTATATAGGTCTGCTTATTCTATATAGCACTTATGGTTTTATATAACACCTATATGGTTCTATATAGTACTTCCTATGATCATATATAGCACTTTTTATTGTTCTATATATAACTCTTTTTATAGTTCTAAATAGCACTTCTTGTGGTTCTATACAACACTTCTTATGGTTCTATAGCGCCATTTGACCAAGCTCTCTTCAGCACCGTGAAAGATTAGTGCTATATAGCATCATAAAAGGTTCCCCTATCATTATGAACCAAAGAACCACTTTTAAAGTTATTTAGCACCCTTTATAAAGTGTGGCTTCTTTTAAAAGATTAAATATATTATCGTACTGATTCCAAACTTTTGACTTTCATTGAAATAAATTATTCATTGCATTTAGTAAATGTTTATAAGTGGTTGCAAGCAATTCATATGGGCTGAATTTAAACAAAATTAAGTTGAACATTACTAAATTTTATTTGTTTAAATTCAGCCCATATAAATTGTTTGCAACCACTTGCCTTAGAAAACTTTAGTAAATCCAATGAATCATTTTTGTAAGTGTGGTACTATCTGTATATATTAGAATAACTCAAGTAAGCTATATAGTATAGTATTAAAGCTATATATCTCTTGGTGAAATCTGGCAACAAACTACTAAGGGAGGTAATGTAATAACAACTGCACCCATGAGATTTCCCAGAAGCATTTCTTGTTCTCTAGCTCTAAAGGTTCAATGACTCGCCAGTGTTGACTGTTCCTTCATACAGCAGCAGAGGGCGCCATTTTATCATGAGTTTCACGCTGAGTTTCATTCGACAATCTTTTCTAAATAAAAAAGGGAAGATGTCTATATATAATGTGATGAAAATAGTAATCCACATTCAGCAATTTACTCTTCACTAACTTAAAAATTTAAGGCAAGCAGCTTCAGGACATTATTATATAGATAGATAGATAGATAGATAGATAGATAGATAGATAGATAGATAGATAGATAGATAGATAGATAGGTAGGTAGGTAGGTACGTAGGTAGATAGATAGATAGATAGATAGATAGATAGATAGATAGATAGATAGATAGATAGATAGATAGATAGATAGATAGATAGATAGATAGATAGATAGATAGATAGATAGATAGATAGATAGACAATGTTTTAAAAGACTATTCATTTAACAAGCTTTAATAAAAAAACACACAGTTTATCACACACTGTACATGATTACAGACTTACAAAAAAGTCACAAAGTGTTCTCATTGGCCAACAGGCCTAGTGCATTTTGATTGGCCAAACACCTGAAACATGATACGGGAGAATGTAATGTCTTTTGCCATAATCACCAGTTTCTATTTTAGAAAAATCAACAGTAAAAACAAAACATCAGTGTAAGTTAGTCAGATTCTGACCATAAAAAACAGCCCACACATCTTTACAAGTAGCCTTATCTACCTATTTTTATATATTCTTCCTGGAAACCTTTAGAGGTTAATAGTAATATTTGTTCATCTTTAAATCTGTAGAAGATTGTGGAAGAAATATATGTGTGGCTCATTCATCTCATTGGCACAGAAAACACTGCGATTCCCTCTGACCCCAAAAATTTACTTTTTAGCAGGGTATATGACTGCTATTTTGACATAAAACTTCACATACATGTTGTGGAAGCACAGAAGTCTTACTTTACATCCTGTAAAAAGGCCAAATGGAGCTCTTTAATGCATGTTTTTGTCAGTTAAAGGGTCTATTTTGAGCTAGTCCATGCTTTGGCCACTTTAAAAGCAGTAGAAAGTGCATTACATTTGATTAGTTTTATAATTTAGATGCTTATTGGGTCAAATGTGTAGTGAGTCAAAGTTTAAGAACAATGAACACTTGATTTATTCCTTAAAAATAATGTAATGTTGTTTAACATTTCAAGGAATAGCACTGATTTGATAAGTAAGGATATGTACACCTGCCTGAATTAAACTCCAACATGCTTATGATGACTGAAATGCTATTTTTTTTTTTTTTTTTTTGAGACAACAATCAGCTAAAAGTAATAACTTATTAACACTTTCATTAAACGTAAAGCCGACAGAAAACTTCAGTCACAAGATGGCGCCAAGCAGTCAAGAACTGCTGCGTGAAAGATACACATAAATACGGATATAAACGTTTTCAAGAAAGGTCAAGATGATTTGAATTACCCGTATGAGCTTGTGTTATTAGTTTCAGCGGTTGTGATTTGGGATTAACATCATGAAATGTCTTGACTGACCAATCAGAATAAAGTACCTTTCAATTTCCACTCATTTAACTAAGAAATACTATGAAGGATTGTATTTTTTAACTAATGTTAACAAATATAAATAAATATTAAAAATTAATGTGTTGTATATTGAAAATAGCCTGCTAATAGAACATTGTTTTGAAGTGTGACCATTTTATATTACAATTGTTGTGATGTACGACTGTACTTAATATGTACATTACTATATATATATATATATATATATATATATATATATATATATATATATATATATATTAATATTGTACAATAAAAGTTTTCTGTATTTTGCGATCTATGATTTTTAAATGCTTTTTATGTGCATAATGGAGCTTTGATCTTTATTCCAACAATGTTTCATGTTAAAAAGTTGGAAAAAGTGACTTTTGTTGAAATTTTTAATAGTTTGAAGTGATATAATCAGTGTGTTGTTGTTAATTGAGCGTAATACAGTACTTTTATAATACTAATACACTAATACACTCCTCTAAAACAGTACTTACCGGTACTTTTTCTTTGTTATTTTACAGACTTAATTATATAGAATACATATATATATATATATGTATATATGTATATATATATGTGTGTGTGTGTGTGTGTGTGTGTGTGTGTATATATATATATATATATATATATATATATATATATATATATATATACACACACACACACACACACACACACACACACATATATATATATATATATATATATATATATATATATATATATATATATATATATATATATATATATATATATATATATATATTCAACAGTTCTGTCTGGAATCTGATTGACTGATAGGCGTGCGATATTCTGCAAATAACAGCACTCGTCTAGCCTCTTCACCCTTCACCCTTGTGTATTACTCCGCCTACATACAGCAACAAGCAGAGGACGCTCTAGTTTGACAAATATTACAGCTGTTGGACAACATCATGTACTTTGAGGCTTTTTTAGTCGATAATGTAGTCGTTTAGATTGCAAATATGCAGTTTATCTTAGTAAGGATCTTTACTGAACAAATAAACAGCTTAAACCAGCCTAAGCCGATTAGGCTGGGAGGTGGGAGATGACCAGCGAAAACCAGCTTGACCAGCCTAGCCAGACTGGTAGCCCAACTAAAACCAGCTATATCCAGTTTAAACCAGGCTAACTGATTAACTGATCAAGCTGGAAGATTACCAGCTAAAACCAGGCTGGAAACCAGCATGAAAAAGGCCAAAACCCCTTTGAAACCAGGCTGATTGACCAGCTAAAACCAGCCAACCAATAGATGTGTTTAAGCTGTTTTTTCAGGATAGATAGTGCCTATTTTAAATATTTATAACTTCTGAGAGACAGCGCGTCGATGGCCATTAGCTTGTCATTGAGCGGAGCAAAGACAGTTGACGTTGTTTATCCACAAGATGGTGTCAGAGACTGCATAATAAGTCCTTCGAGGAGGAAAACATCGTAATTTTTAACTACAGCTGATCAGATCATTCTAGAACTGATAACTGGTAAGACTAGTTCAGTAAACAGAAAGAAAGAAGAAATGCCTGCATGTGTTTACTGTTTTTCCTTATCGCAAACACAATAGTATTCTGCTAGCGTTTGCATTGCTTTAGCTTTTTCAGGGGTTAAGTATTGTGATTTCCCGAATGCAACAAAGAAATATTGGGAAAGCCTTATAATTTTGAAATGTGAGTAAAAATCACTTGTTTTGTCATCACTTTAGACATTACGCTAGAGAAGCATTCAAACACTAGCTCTAAAGTGACGCTGGTGAAGTAGCAATGATTTCTGCTGTTGTGACATCAGCTGCGAATGTGAATGAATGGTGGAAGAAAGTAGTTCCTTATACAAAAGGGTTTTTGAGACTCTACTTGTTAGATTTTGTTTTTATCCACACAATTATGCCATCAAACTGCTTTAAAAACCCAATATTAAACTTGTAGCAGTGCGATATGACTTTACAGTTTATCGTCACTGGTGCACGCCTCCCAACCAGGGCAATATACAGCCATATCGCACTGCTACTTGTGTGATATTGCTCATATATAGTTTATATAAAGTTTTGTATACATTAAATTGTTTTAAACTACTGAAATGTCAACAAAAGTCTCTATGTTTAGCTGCAGAGTTAATATTTAAACACTAAAAGTGAAGACTGGAGTCCAACAATGCAATTCATGAGCATAAATAAACGGAAAACACCACTGAATCACAAAATATAGGCACAGTTAATTAACAGACATTGTTTGTTATGAACCAAAGTTTGCTATTAGCATAATAAGCACAACTTTTTTTGTTTGTTTTGCAAACGTATATACAAGTTCAGTCAACTCTAGACAGACACATAACCATCATGACTTGCGAGGTTAATCGAGTTCTTCCTTGTCGTGATCCAACACAGATATGGCCTTTTTTTCCGGGAATTTCCCCCTCTCAAGTCCCAACAGATCCCACAGACTTCATACCAGTCGTAATCGTCTCTCTTTATATGACATTTGTTTACGCTTTTACATTCTGCTCAATCATACAACTCTGTCTTCTGGGTGACTGGTGCTTCCAAAAGCGGATGAAGTTTTCCCCAACAAAAATGAACAGCAGCGGATCCAGACACTGTTTCCAGACGCCAGAACGTGTGTGACGACTGCCGCTTTTCTTAAAGTTTCGATGTAAAGGCAAGAATCGCCATAACCGTTGATTTTAATATCCCTCTCAGCCTCCAAAAATAGAGTTCGGACGACATGATAAGGCATGAAGCAGGCCAGGAAAATCAGTAAAACTATGATGACGAGAGAGCAGGACTTTTTCTGGTTGAACTGAGATCTTTGGTTCCTCTTCTTGAGCTTTATCAAATACACAGCCGCAAAGATATAACACACAGAGATGATCGCGAAAGGCACGACAAATCCCAAAAACAGCACACCACGGTTTAAAATGATAATAGTTTCCAAATTGGAGTGTCCCAAATCCAGACATCTGGTTTTTTCATTCTCCTCATGCGTTCCTGCTTTCAGAAGCGGGATGGAGGCCAGAGAAACGATCATCCAAATAACAACGCAGATGATCCAGGCCCGTCGTGGGTTTTGCCAGCGTACATACGCGAACGGCTTGACAATGGCCACGAACCGAACCATACTAAGTACGGTCAGAAAGTAGACACTTCCGTACATATTAATGTAGAAGACGTAAGACATGATCCGGCAGGTTACATCTCCAAAAACCCAATTGGAGTCCATGAGGAAGTAGGAGGCCCGGAAAGGCAGCGAGCACACCAGCATCAGATCCGACAGCAGGAGATTGAGCATGAGGATGTTCACCGGAGTTAAAGACACCTTTTTTCGGACTGAAGAAGCAACGAAGAAGACGAGCGAGGTGATGTTGCCGACCAGCCCGAGGAAGAAGATGAACAGGTAGGCGATGGGGTAGACGGTGTGCTTGAACTGGCTGATGGAGCAGTTGTTTGTGGGGACCGTATCCAAACTCCTCATTGTTGGTACAGGGGATTAAATCTGTGAACAAGACAGACAATGAATCAACAATAAAATGAATCATTTTCAAATTACACTCAAAAAATTGCTTATTCAAAACTATTTATTCAAAATGAGTTGGAACAATTTTGGGAGGGGACCACTTAAATGTTTTATGTTAAATCACTTAAATCTGTGTTTTGCATTAATCAATTTGTGTTAAGAGTTGTGTGGAAGCCCGCGTTTTTTACAATGTAGGAAATTCCAAAAAACTTTGGGCTCTATTTTGACGGTCCATGCGCAGAACGCAAAACGCAGGGCGCAAACGCTTTCAGGGCGTGTCAGAACGCATTTTTGCTAATTTACGGACAGGAAAATGCGCTTTGCGCCAAGGCGCATGGGCTAAAAGTGTGAGTTTATTTTCTTAATGAGTTATAGGTGTGTTTTGAGAATAAACCAATCAGAGTCTCATCTCCCATTCCCTTTAAGAGCCAGCTGCGTCACGCCAAGAGCGCATTCGCTATTTACAGGACGCAAAGTAAGTCTAAGTGGAAAAAATGAGCATTTCACAAGCAAACAGTAAACAGTTGACAGTTTTTTTAACAGAAAACAGTTAAACAGAGCATCTACTGCATGAGAATGAGAGATAATGGATCACTTTCACTTTCGCTCTTGGATAGAGAAACCTTTATGCACAGACATCAATTAGCCTATAAATAATTAATTGCGTTTGTTAAGCGCAAACATTCGTTTCAAAACTATTTCTAAATTCAGTTCTAATTTCCAGCAAACAAATAAATGAACAATAATGACCAAGTGTGGTCAAAAACCTGAGTTATATCCTAAAACACATGCTGTGCCCCATATGGTCTAAAACCTGACAGGTGGGCAAATCTAAGCTTTTTTTAATAAAACAAATATAAATATGGATATAATAAATAATACTGCTAATAATAATAACATTTTATAAAAGCAGATTGTTATGAATGAACTGAAAAAGCCTCCCGAGATGAAGAAGACATAAAAGCAGTGATTTTTCATTTTCATGTAGGCTAGAAAATAATAAGTTTTGTAATATTTTAATCCTTTATATTTATATCCTATATCTATTCTTATTATATTCTATATATATCCTTAATATTTAAATTTTTTCATATGTAAAGATATTTGCCTGTTGCTCTCTTGTGTGTATTAAGCAGTGTGTAAGCGAGGCGCAACTCTGCGCCGGAGTTTAGACCGGGTAGTTTTGGTCTAATGAAAAATCTATTTTAGTTTCTCAAAATAGCAACGCGCCAGCGGTCCACCTCAGAACGCCTTCCTTTTTAGACCAGAACGCCTATGGGCGCACATATGAGTGCTAATGCATTTGCTATTTAAACAGCGTAGCGCAACACCTCAAAACCACTCTTGCGCCAAGCTGAAACTTTATTTATGTCTTTGCCCCTTTTTGCAAGATGTAAAACAAGTCTCTGATGTCCCTAGAGTGTGTATGTTATGTTTCAGCTCAAAATAGCTCATAAATAATGTTTTAGAAACCTTTAAAAACTGCCCCCTTTTGATTCAAGTTGTGCCATTTCGGTGACTGTCACTTTAAATTCAAATGAGCTCTTTTCAAAAGAGGGTGGAGCTACAAATTACCTGTGTGTCAGCATAGTGGCATTCAAAACGGTTGCTTCTCACTGTTTTAATTAAGAAATTTTCATTTCCAAACAAAATGCAACGTCCACATGACGTTGGGGTACAACGTCAATCCGACGTCATGTTGATGTCTTGAGCCTGCTGGGTGTTTAAGGCCATTTCAGCATTGGTGGAAAGAGTACTGAAAAAGCATACTTAAGTAAAAGTACCATTACTTGCCTAAAAATGTAGTGTGAGTAGAGTAAAAGTACCTGTTGTAAATATTACTCAAAGTAGGAGTAAAAAGTAGCCATTTTAAAAGTACTCAAGAGTAGTGAGTATTATGCTGTTAAAAGTTGATGCATTACATGTAATTTGTGGATGTGTGTGTGTGTGTAAACGTAAAATTCTGTAGTGCATTTAGTTATTGCCCAGCAGTCACACAATGTCATAAGACGTTAATATTAGGTTAGATTTAGGTTGTGATGCCAGGTG